ATATGCGAACAACGGCACTTTAAAGGATTATCTTCGTGAAAATAAAGATATACTACAATTAAGTGATAAAATTTCCATAAATCTATCTATTCTCGAGGGATTGCAATTTTTGCATGATAACCAAATAGTACATAGAGATTTGGCAAGTTTTTACTTTATTATTTCAATTTTGGTTCTGTTGTATGTAATTTTGCCAACAAAATGATTTTCCTAAACTATGTAAATTTACTAGCAAAGATCGAAATGATGTAAATGCATACTAATATTAATCGTTATTATGTGATTGTATTAATTTTGTAGCATTCAAAAAACGTTTTAATTCATGATAGAAAAGCTCTTTTGGCAGATTTGGTCTCTCAAAATCTCTTCTGGAACCAAAAAAAGTATCAGAGATTCGAGGAGTGCAAGCTTATGTCAATCCAAAATTATTAAGCGGAAAATCGACTCATATGCACGAGAAATCCTCTGATATTTATAGTTTTGGCGTGCTTATGTGGGAAATTTTTACTTGTCGACCTCCATTTGAGGAACAACACAATGAATTAACTTATCATCTTTGTATGGGCCTAAGAGAAAAGCGAGTAGTAGGAATGCCGATGCAATATATAAATATATATGAAAAATGTTGGAGTCCAGATCCTTCATTAAGGCCTGAAATTTCTGAAATATTTAATGGTCTTAAAAATCTCAATGAAGAACCGAAATATACAGAAAAAGATATCCCATCGACAGGTTTGTGGTGATCGGAGATGTGTCTCACGCGGGTGCCGGTCAAAATCCACAAGCACAATCCCGACAGGTCATAATCCCGACAAAAAAATCCCGACAAGCACAATCCCGACAGGTCATAATCCCGACGGTCAACAATCCCGACAGTCAACAATCCCGACAATTATAAATCCGACAGTCAAATAGAAAATCCCAAATATGGGTATGTTTAAAGCGAAGTAGACTCTTATAATTTAACTTTAGAGTTAGGTCACTTTGAATAAGGGTTGGGGTTAGCTATGGTTTATGAAATTCTTTATCAGAATTTTAATTGTCGGGATTTTTAACTGTCGGATTTTTGGCTGTCGGGATTTTTGCTGTCGATATTTTTGTCTGGATTATGATCTGTCGGGATTTCGTTTATCGGGATTTTGACCCAAACCCGTCTCAAGCGAGATTGCTCGAGATGCTTATATAGATTTCCCATCTGACAAAGATATTACAATTTCTAGTGACAGATAAAGTCCACTGATTGCTATGATTGTACAATTTGTCGAATTATCTTGCAAAATGAATGCCAAAATATTGCGCGATGGCACATCTCCAGTGATGATATGAGTAGCTAAAACAATGAAACAAAGAAATTAATGAATTATTATCTTGAATTCTAACTCATTGCAGAGAATTTATCATATAGATATCATTTTGATGTGGAAAATTTGCCTGATATAGTTATACAACAGGATGGAAATTCCACGAATGAAATGCAACTGTGTAATTTCTTAACAGAATTGGATCTATCTATCATTTCAGACACTTTTTCACCATTAATCGAAGAAACTTATCAAATTGAAAATTTTTGGAAGTCTTATGATAACATACAACTTAATAAAAGAACATGTAAAAAACTAGGCATATGCATCATTGATGCTGTGTACAATGTTAAAAGGCTTCCATATCTAGATCGCTATGATGATTTCTTCACATTGGATAATTATATGTCTTTTTATAAATTTCTTCAAAACCTTAAGGTTATCAAAAGTTTCATCGAAGATATCTCTCAAATAAGAAGATTAAAATCTTTTATTCAAGAGATTGATTCGGGTATTTCATTGGAGAGATTAAAAGATGAATATGTCAAATTACTAAAAGAATTTCATGAATCCACATTATCTCTTGGGTTTAATATTCAAGTAGATAATAACATCAACGATATAAACAAAGATATTGAAGAAACAAAAAAGGTACCTTTTTCATCTAGTGTCATTAAATTTTATCATTAACAATATAATTAAACCAGAATTTTTTTTCTAGTTTATTCAAGCATTTGAATGCAATTTTGAAGATAATTCTATATTTCACTTTATCGACAAGATAAGTGCCGATATTCAAAATATTGCCAATCATAAACTGGTTGAAAATGAAATCATTCAAGAGTCATACAACAGCGAAATAGTCAAATACATAAAATTTAGTCCACCTGAAGTGAAATCATTATCTGTTCAAATGGCACTTTTAAAAAATTTAAAAGGTTTAGTCAATATATCCAAATTTTATGGAATAAAACATGAAAGCCAAATGGAAATAACCATCGCTGTTGAATGGTCACAATATGGAGATTTAATGGCGTATTACAAGGCATACAAACTAAATACTCCGCTTAAGCTAAAATTCGCATTAGAAATATGTAATGGATTAGTGTTTCTAAATTCTGTGAATTATTTGCATCGTGCTATCAAATCTGAGAATATTCTGATTACAAATGTAAAGCCAAAATTACAAATTTTTGTCATAGTCGATTAGTTACAGATGAATCGAGAAAACTTGATGGGTGTTGGATACATAGTACCAGAAATATTTCATCGAAACACACGAACACATACTCAACAATCATCCACATATCTACACGAAGGATATGAATATGGTTTCAAGAGCGAAGTTTATAGGTAGGTTTATAAGTAAGCATGCAGCCTGACTTTACTTTATAGGTAAGTTTAGGGATGTTAAACCGGTTAAAATAGACTGTTTCAGTTCCGAACTGGCAGTGCGCTACATAAACCGAATCTAACTAGTTTTTACGTAATGATTGGTTACACGAATTTCGGAACTCATTGATAATCTTTTTTTGCAATACCGATTTTTTTTTCGGTTCCGATCAATCAATTCACCGAACGCTCATCGCATAGGGTTAGGGTTAAGCATTTGATTAGTTGCAGGTATATATTTTTACATGAGCTGTCGGTGAATGATTGTTGGTGAAATAATACGGACCCCATAATACGTTGTCACACACGAAAAACTAACTACGTAATATATCACGTGTTTCATGTAACAAACGAACTAGTTCCGCTGGTTCAATCTGAATCATAACGGTCTGAGTTTTGAACTCAGTCGAACTAGTTCCAGCCAAACGATTTAACATCCCTAGGTAAGTTAGTAGGACAGAAAATGTCGCGGTGGCATGATTTCCGACCCATTTGATAATCTGAAATTAAATGGCAGTAACATTTACATTATATTAAATTAAAATTAATATATTGATCATATACAGTCAGACCTCTCTAAGTGCACGCCCTTGGGACAACACTTTGACAACATTCATTTAGAGAATAATAATAAAAAGTGCATTTATAGAGGTCAAGTATATATTTGGGCCAGAATCTGTACATGCATTTAGAGAGGGTGTGCACTTATAGAGGGTGCACTTAGAGAGGTATGGCTGTATTTATATGATTAATAAATTATGTAAATGTTATTGTCGTGACTAAAGTTGGGATCCGACTAAAGTTGGAACTTCAGTTGACTGAAGTTGCACCTGACCGAAATTAGCCCCTGAAATTAGATCATCCTGCACGCATTAGTTAACTTCAGTCACGACATTATCGTTATTTTATCGTTATTTTATCAAATGGGTCAGAAAAGGTCAGTGATTATGTCACCGGACATTTTCCTGCCACCACTAAACCTACCTTTACTTTATTGGTATCAATATCCCTATATCATTGATTAAAAGAGCTTCACAAATAATCAATTTCATAACCAATGATGTAATGAGCATTGTTAGCAATGAGTTTATTTCTAAGTTATAAATTTTCTATACATAATTTAGTTTTGGTGTACTTTTATGGGAACTCGCACATGAAAAACCTCCATATATGCATTGTGATTTCGATAAAATAAACCATTCCCTTTATAGCAACTACTTATTAAAAAACTTTGATAAAAGTCTTGTGCCGAAAAAATACGTGGATATTAGTATAAAAGGTAAATAGTAAAGTTAGTTTAGCAACAACAGTTAGTTGATTAACTTTTTTTTTATTCTTATACTGTAGCACTCAGTTGTGACCCAAAAAATCGTCCAACAATCTGCGAGATGTATAAAGAGCTACATAGTCTAATATTTGGTCAACAATGATATTATTCAGAAATATTATTTGGAATAACTAGGAACTTGCAAACTAACTATATTAAGACGGCCTTTATAAAATTTTTCCAGCCTATTTTATCTTTTTAATCAATTTGATTCATCTCATATATATATTTTTTTAAAGAAACCTTTTTTACTTTCTCTATAATTACAACTTTTATATAATTATATGAGACAGCATAAGATATTCACTGTGCCAAATTTAATTACATTTATTTTTATATGCAAAATTTAATAAGAACAATATAAAGCATTTGATTTTTTATAAATAAAATTATATAAGGTTAATTTTTATTTTTATTAATAATTTGTATTAAGAATCTATTAGTGTTTTTCTAGTTAAAGCCAATTTTATAAATTTTTTTACAAAAATAAAACTTAAATTATAGACAAAAATTATCTAATTTAACTGCAATTTAAATCTACTTGAATGGTTAAAACTTTCTAGATTTGTTATACAAATCTAGATAGATTTAATTTAGATTAATACCCGGGTTATCTGCAAGATAATCGAATATTCGGGTTGTAAACTTAGCTACCCGGGTAAACATACCCAGGTAATACTCGTGTAAACATATCCAAATAATATTCAGATAACAAAAGTTTGAATATTTATGTAGGTTACCCAAGCTATTATGACTAGTAATACCAAGCTAAATTTTGCAGATCACGTGATTATATAAATGTAATCGTATTTTCTAATCAATTTTCTAATCACTGAGATATATAACGTAAATTAAACCTTTTTTTTGCATTTTTTTTTTCTTTCGCACTTTTCTTTATTTCTTTTTCATGTACCAAAAATGATTACTGCTGATCATGAAAAGAAAAAATGCAATCATTGCAGGCTTTGCTACACAGAAGAAAGCTTTATCAGAAAAAATACCCAAATTTTCCAATTGTGTAACAAGTACCAAACTTCGGTCAGTAAGATGAATCGGATTAAGGCAAGGAAAATAAAGATGAAGAAGTTAAACAGTGCCAAGGTTTGCTTATACTCAAGAACAGCTTGTTGATTTCTTCTTGAATTTTCTAGACTCTTATTATAACCTCGACAATGCTGAACCATGCACTCAAGTATTTGGAAAATTTTCTAAATACTTGGGAGGGTCGTAATCACAATACATTCTGACCCTATAAAAAAATATATATGAAAATAAAGAAAATTACAAATAATATATGGAATTTAATATATATATATACTGAATAATAAGTTTATATAATAAATTAATATTGAATTATTAGGCTATACAAAATTAAATTTTGTTTCTCACAACATTAAATTTTAAAAATGACCCAGCTGGCTGGTTTTTTTTTAAAATTTTATATATAAAATTTCATAAAATTTTTTTAAATTTTTTTTTTTTTTTTTTTTTTTTTTTTTTTTTTGTTTTAAGGTGAGGTCTTACTCATATCTTTATTAGTAAAAATTTTTTAATAGTAACAGTGTAGATTACTACAACGCAGTTACCGAGGCTTCCACTTGTAGTCAGAGCGAATCATTAAACCACTATATATAGAAATTTACAAAGCTACTACTATTTGT